ACACACACGTGGTTACGTTTAGCTGACACACACACACGTGGTTACGTTTAGCCAACACACACACGTGGTTATGTTTAGCCGACACACACACACATGATTACGTTTAGCCAACACACACGTGGTTACATTTAGCCGACACACACACGTGGTTACGTTTGGCCAACACACCCACGTGGTTACATTTAGCCGACACACACACACGTGGTTGGTTTTAGGAAAACAGAACATGGTTTGGCTTTACAATCTTACAGGAACTGAACACTAGCCTCCTGGGTGAAAGTTAGTGGTTGTTTGACCCATCCACCGGCACTCCCACCCACCCTCCTCGGACTTTCACCACCCGAACTTTTGTTGTCCCGCTGCGTCTTCCCCTGACACCGCCAGGCGCTGTTAAACAATAACAGCTTTTTTCATTGGTGTCTGATGCCGCTGGAAGTCACTGAGCAAGTGCCAGTATTTGACGACTTTGGAGTGAAACCAGGTTGAAAACTAATGTTGATGCATGATGAATAATAGAAAATGTTGGATTTTTGTTTCTTAATTTACGGGCTAAGTTATAGAAGAGAATTCGAGCTGCCTTGTGATGACTTCCTGTCGTCTGCAGAAATCAGTGAGGAGGAGGAAGTGTATGTTCACTCGGATGTTTGAAGAGGAGCGGCTGCTGTCCATCGGTTGCAGAGCCACCTGCCTCCAGAAGAACATCGTAAGTCCCTGCTGCTGCTACTGGTCAACAGAAAACTAAAGCATGTATCAAAGAAGAAGATGAAATAATAAAAACGTGTTTTCAGGTGCGGAGGTGCTGCAGAGGGTTTTTCGGGGAGCACTGTGAGCCGTGTCCAGGGCCAAAGGGTCAGCCCTGCTTCGGTAACGGAGCGTGCTCAGACGGGACGAATGGGACTGGAGTGTGTCAGTGTGATAGAGGTTTCACTGGGACCGCCTGTGAGACCTGCCAGAGCGGCAAATATGGAGTGCACTGTGATCAGGGTCCGAACCCCTCAGACTGTAAACAGGAAATACAGAGTACATGTGTCTGTGTCCTCTGATCTCACCGTCACTGTGTGTCTCTGCAGACTGCGGCTGTAAAAATGGCCGCTGTAACGAAGGGCTGAAAGGTGACGGGACGTGTGAGTGTGATGTTGGCTGGAGAGGAGTCCTCTGTGACGAAAGTACGAACCCTGAAACCTCCGAGACATTAGCCCCTTTTCCACCAACATTTCCAGGAACTTTTAAAATGTATTCAATCAGGCTGATGATGTAGATGATTCAGCGTGTGTCCTGTATTTGGCTCCGCCAGCTCATTGGCTGGCAACATCAGTGCTAGTGTGAAGAGTTGGGCTGTTTGTCTCAGCCAGCAGCTCAGTGTAAAGTCTTTTAAGTGTCAAACTAAGTTAGTCTCCACACAGACAGCTGTCATTTGAGCTTATTAGGAACAATTCACTATCAGCTGAACTAGCGTGCTGTCCTTGTGTCAGACATATTAGGTATAAAATCATGAGCTCATCATCTTTTATCATCATTTATACGTCATGTTTTTATACATTATATATTCATACATTATGTTAATATGAATTATTCATCATTGAATTTTAATCTCTCTGAGAAAACATGTATTGATAAAACCTGTGACCAGATATTGAAGTCAACATCTTTATAATATTCAGACTTGTTTAATTCAAATGTTTCATTTTAAGATACTTTGACTTAAATACTTAATTCTTTATAACTTTTTGTCACATAAATTTTCTGTTTTATTCTCAAAATATCCCAAATTTTCTCCATAATTTTTAAAGATCTGACAGATGACACTTTGTTATTTTGAACCTTTATATTTTCTGATTTGGTTCTTTGTGTGTTTGTTGTTGCAGAGATCGAATCTAAAGCTGATGAACTGTGTGGATCAGTCAAATGTCACACCAGCGCAAAGTAAGTCACACACACACACTTCTTCTGTTTGGTTGAAACTATTCATAAATACTTTGTTACCTGAGAATCAGTCACAGCGTTCAACCAGGAAACTCAGGTCATGATGTCAGAGACGCAGGGGGAGGAGCCAGAGTTTGGAGTCATATCACATTATAACTATCTTTGTTGTTTCAGCTTTGATTCTAAAATCCTTCAGCCAAATTAAAAACACACATTACCTGATGGTTTTATCGAAATGTTGAGCAGATCTCAGATCTGTCTGTCATTACAGGAGAAAGATGTGATTGGTGTCCTCGTCCATCACCCGTCAGAATCATCAGTAACATGCTGCACTATTAACCATCTGATATCTGGGCTCATGTATGTTTCCTCAGATAGCTTCTATATGTTCATTTCCTCCTCCAGAGTTGACAGACAGACGCCATGATGACAGCGTCTGTGGGGCTGAGTGTGTTGTGTTGAGTAGATTAAAGTTAGCAGCAGGTGTAGCTGGTTAAAGTTACCTGTTGTAGTTCAGGAGGTGACCTGTACTAATGTTCAGGATTATAATGATGCAAACTAACTGTATAATCAAATGTTTTCATTCTGTATCAGACGTCAGCGTTAGCAGCACGTTATTTGCCAGGTGTTAAAATGAGAGGTCATTAACGAGGAGGAGGTGATCCCATCCTTCTCCCATGACTCCTCCTGCACTCTCAATGACTTCATGAGCCTTTCCTTCCTTCATAGTCTACCTTGTGTTAAACCAGGAGGAAGTTGTGTTTGAGTCGAGATGTTTTAGCTTCTTCCACCGTCTGTGTTTCTGACACTAAACTGATCCATCACTCTGACTCTGTGGTCCGACAGTTGTGTGATCAGACCGTCCAGTCCTCAGTGTCTCTGCGCCGCTGGATTTGAAGGAAACGGGACATTTTGTCAAGGTAACAACTCAATTCAGTTTTATTTAAAAAGCCCAACGTCACAATTCACAAATTACCCAGGGGGCTTCACAGCAGACGACACCCCTGTGTCTTTAAATGCCTCACCAGAGAGTGTGGTCTGAGTTTAACATCAGGAAACTGGAGCTCATCCAGGATTTTTTGTTGTTTATGTCTCTTTTGAAGTTTAGTTAATTGATTACTTTCTTCTGGCTTCATAGATAAATACAACTGAGTATCATCCGCATAACAATGGAAATTTATAGAGTGATTTCTAATGATGTTACCTAAAGGAAGCATATATAGAGTAAATAGGATTGGTCCGAGCACAGAACCTTGTGGAACTCCAAAACAAACCTTAGTACGTAAGGATGATTCATTATGAACGTCAACAAACTGAAATCGATCGGATAAATAAGATTTAAACCAGCTTAGTGCAGAACCTTCAAATGTTCCAGTCAATTTAATGGTGGGTTCTGTCTAATAATAAAACAAGTGCAGAGACGAGTCCTGACACCTGAACACCTTGTTCGTCTCACCTGAATAGTGATCTGTGTCTCCAAGGTGAACGAAGAATCTAAAAACGAACGATGAATTAAAGTAAACACCCTTCACATTTAATTACAGCTATGTATCAGACCCAACACACAAAGGTGGAGCTAAAGATACTGTAGTCTGATTGGTCAGTAGAGTGGGTTTGATGATGATGATAATGATGATGATGATGATGATGGTGATGGTGATGGTGATGGTGATGATGATGATGATGATGATGGTGATGTTTCCAGCCACAGATCCATGTGCGGTGGATAACGGCGGCTGCAGTCTGTATGCCGTCTGTAAGAGGACTCGACCCGGGCGGAGAGACTGTGTCTGTAACCGTGGTTACTCCGGAGACGGACTTGTGTGTGTTGGTGCGTTCACTGTATTTATTATATCTTATCATTTCTGTGTTTAAACAGAGCTGATCTCTGAGTCAGGGCGTGTTCAACCTGCTGCTCCAGTCTGAGTTATTAAGAAAATCTTTTGTTTCAAAATAAGTAAAGGAAACACGTTTAAATCCAAATTAAATTCATTTTAAATTATAAATGAATAACGTTTTAAAATTAAGATGTATCAATCCAAAAAAAAACAGAATGAACGGATACAAAATTTAAAGTGGACTGAACCAAAATTACAGCCAGGTGATGAAAAAGTACTGCAACACAAAATACTGCAAAGGAAAGCTAAGTTACTGGAACTTCATGTAAAAATAAACTACTGTAAGTATTGTAATAAAATGGAAACATTTTATTTGAGAATGCAGAAGTACTTCAGGTACTGCAAAAATATCACAAGATAACAAAGTACTGTGACGTAATGTGAACAGTATTTGAGGTTGAACCATTTTGAATTCTATATGTATTTAACACAGCAGTGTGTACTTCAGGTTCTTTGAATGGGCTGTGTGATGTGTTCGAGTGCTGCAGGACTTCTGTGCTTCTCCTACAGAAATAAATCCCTGTCTGGAAGGAAATGGAGGTTGTCACACCAACGCAGAATGTGTTCACGTCGGACCAAACAAAGTAAAAAAAAGATTCACTCTCTGATTTTAATAGAAGCAACTTCTTTTTATTACTGTGGTCATGTTTGTGATTGAATTCATTTTGTCCAGACTTCCTGTGCGTGCAGTGAAGGTTACTCAGGTGATGGACGAACCTGTAAGATGATCAACTTGTGTCGAAAGGTGAGTTTGTCTGAACTCTGAATGGATTTAAACTGAGTGTGTGTGTGTGTGTGTGTGTGTGTGTGTGTGTGTGAGGGAAAACATAAGTATTCAGAGCAGTGGCGGCTGCTGGTCTTTCAAGGAGGGGAAGCTAATTTTCGGCCTACATCATAAAATGTGTCCATTTATTTATATGTAAATTCTACCCTCCGTTCCTTTTCAAGAAAATGATCTGTGACCCTGTCGTACCAACTAGGCGTCTTTTCCAGGGACTTGACCAGTGCCCTCTCAATGGCCAGCAGAGCTAGGCTGCTTAAACGGCCTTGGCCCATTGTGTTGCGGGTGTAAGACTTGAGCTGCTTTAAACAGGAGAAGCACCTCTCTACACCTGCAGATGTAGCTCCAATTGTTGCCACTAACAACAGTTTGTACAGCTGAGGCATTGCATTATCCAACTCCATGTCTTTAAGAAACAGCAAGAAATCACACAGCTTTGCCCTGTTGCCCTGCAAGTCCTGGTTTGAATATAGGACTTGAAGTTCAGACCTCAGTCTCCCTGAATCAAAGAACTGGCCATAACTTTTCAGGACACTTTGAAATGCCTCCTCTGGAAACACTTGTCTCATCTCATCAAATTTCCCTGGATTGACTAATTCCAAGAAGCGCATGCTTTCCAAATTTGCAAAATGCCGAGGAATCTGCTCTGTGAGATTGTCTAGGATGGCCATGTACAGATTTCTGTAGCTCTCCTTGGGATCCTGCAGTTGTGACAGGCGGCGCTTTCTCATGGGCTCAGCTTGTGGGTCTGATGTGAGATCTGCTGCTTTGGCATAAACAGCTTGGAAAGCCCCCTCTGACCTCTTCTCTTTGACAAAAGCAAGAAGAGACTCGATTCTTTTCTTGCAGTACAGAACATCCATAGCCCTCTGCTGGACAATATCAAACACCACATCAGTCTCAGAGAAGATTTGTTCATATGTGTACAACATGAACACAAACTCAAAATCATCCTCCAGTTTCATCACAAAGTCTTTGGCACAATCTAATGTGTCATCATCCATGGTCTTATCTGCAATGATCTTCTCAAAAGTCTGCAGGAGGGCATCATAATTGTTTGCCACAGTGCTCACTATCCGTGATGTTAAATTCCATCGAGTAGGAGCATTTCTGGGCAACCTTGAACAGCCTGCAGACTCAAGAAAAGACGTCCTCTTTGTGGATTTTGAGAAAAATGTGGCAAACCCAGAGAGTGATGCGAAAAATATTCTGCACTCAGACAAGCATTTAGCCCCCTGAGAGAGCACCAGATTCAGTCTGTGTGCATAGCAATGCACAAACATTGCACTGGGAGCTATTGCTTTAACTTTGGCCTGCAAACCATTGAGAGCTGAAGCCATGACAGCAGCCCCGTCATAGGTTTGTGCCACAAGTTTCTCCCTGAAATTGTAGCCCTGCATGTTCTCATTCAAGACCTCAAAAACAGACTGAGCATCTCTCCCCCCAGAAACATCAAAAAATCCAATAAAGCGCTCCTGAATTTTACCTGCGCTATCCACATAGCGAACAATGACAGAGAGTTGGGCACGGTAAGCTATATCAGTTGTTTCATCCACCTGCCATGCAAAAAAGGGAGCAGCCTGAATTTCATCTTTGATCTCATCAGAAACAGCGGCTGCAAGAGCAGAGATCAAGTCATTTTGGATTGCATGGGACATACCAGAAAACACAGCTGATGACTGGAATTGTGTGGCCAGGACAGAGTTATATTTAGCTAATGTTTCTGTAAACTCCCTGTAATTCCCTTGTTGGATGATTCACCACTCTCATCATGTCCCCTAAATGACAGCTCCTGACGGCCAAGCAAGGAAGTCACATCAATAAGGCGGTTTAGGAAGGTCCTGTTTTGTTTGACTGTTTCATTATGTTTTGCCACTTGAATGCGAGCACCTTCATTGATTGCATGCTCAACCCTGACTCTGCCCAGGCAACTTAACCTTGCACATGCACTCACATGTTCATTGCTCTTTTCATGCCTTTTGTATGCCCTGTCAAAGTTAGATAGATCCCCAAAACCCACTTTTGACCAGACAACACATCCCTGAGATGGTTTCATCAAGAGGCATGGCCAACAGTACATTTTACATTGCCCCATAGACCCCCAGAGACGCTGAGCGTCCGATGGGCGGGACAAAACCGAGCATTTATCCAATGACTGTCTAGTTTCGCTGCAGTGGAACAACCCACTCTATGCTTCCCCATTGTAGTCTTTGGACGCTGAGCTTCTACACTGTTTAATGCACTGTGACGCTACGGGAATGAATGAGAAGAAAGTCGCATTAGTGACCTGTGATAAGTAGCTGACTCTGAACAGAAGTTGAACGCGTTCTAGCGCATATTAAGTCAATGAAATGTAAACACAACAGTACATATTTGACCACTTATTTTTTGACATTTTAGGGGAAGCTGAGCTTCCCTTGCAGTCTTAGAGCAATCGACACTGATTCAGAGGTGATGTAACAGTGTACTGAGAGGAACAGTAAAGTACTGCACAGGACCAGGACAGTACTGTGAGTACAATGAGTTTTATTAATCTAGACTGAAACCACATGTACGATCACAGTACTGTTACTCAGTGACGTCTTCTGCTTCTGATGTTCCCAGAAAAACGGCGGCTGTCATCAGTACGCCTTCTGTAACATGACGGGTCCAAGTGTTCGTACCTGTGCCTGTAACAGAGACTTCATTGGAGACGGCGTCACCTGTAAAGGCACCGTGGCAAAGGTCAGCTCATAGATTTATGTCTGATTCAGATTCAGATTCAGAATACTTTATTAATCCCCGGGGGGAAATTGTTTATAGATATATGTACAGTAGCTGGAGGACTGTGATGTATAATGACGGACTTCTTGCAGGAGCTCCTGGGGAGGAAGCTGAGAGACTTTTACCACGGTCTGATGGTGAGTGACATCACACCGTTGCCTCCTGCAGGTATAAAACCAGACAAACTCAGAGATAATAATAAACCTCTGATTTCAGATAGCGGAGATTTCTCTGAGAGGTCGTGGCCCATTCACTGTATTCCCACCGAATGCTGAAGCCTTCGCCACAGACAGAAGGAGAAGCAGCACAGTGAGGATAAATGTTTTGATTCAGACATTTATTCAAAGTTAAAATAGACAAGTTTTCTCATCATGAAGTGTGTGTGTGTGTGTGGGGGGGTCTTGATCCTTGTTGGGATAGAGGGGTAGGGTTTTTTTTTTTACAAAAATCATCTGATCTCTGTTATGTCTTCCTGTCCTTTCATGTCTGCAGTTGCGATCGACGATGATGGAAAAGGGCAAAGAACAGTTCGGCGCCGTCTTGCGCAGCCATATTGTCATGTGTCACACACTGCTACCTGCCGATCTGAGCCGACCCAGAAACCTGACATCTCTGTCTGGGTTCGTCCTGACCACCAGGTCCATCCAGGTGACCAATCAGAGAGCAGAGTCACAGTCTGGGTTCTGAGGCTAACAGCAGAGACTAAGTTACAGTTGATCTAATAAGAATCTCGACTTAGTGTTTCTAAAACTTTGTTTCATTTAATGCAGTCTGGATCCATTTAATCTCCCTTAAAAAAAAAAACTTAATTCTAATCCATGAAATAATACCTTAAAGAACTCCTGATGTTAGCTGTACGTTTAATCTGAATTTAACGGAGAAGTTAAAGATGTTGAAGTTATGAAATGAAGTCCTTTGGTCTTGAATGTTTGTATGATGGATATTTTCAGGGCAGCATCTTCATCAACGATGCTAATGTGACATACAGCGATGACATCAGCGTTAACGGGATCTTCCATGAGATCGACAAGGTTCTGTTTGCTCCAGACCTGGACAACAAAAGACCACCAGCTGCTCCTGTAAGAGCACAACTCAACAGTCTGAAAATGTTGATAATGTTTGAGATATTTATCCGATAAATGGATCAGTTTGTTTTTAATGATTGTCTGACTGTCTGTAAGTGAACTATCCAATGACATGTCAAACTCCTTTACGTGAATGTTTTTCTCAGATGAACCTGACGGATGTGGCAGAAAGTCACGGTTATCAAACCTTCTACAAACTGCTGGAGGTGAGGAAATCAAACTCTGTTCTTCACTGAAACAATAAAATGTTTAAATCTGTTGAAGAAACCTGACGAGGTTAATGTCGACGTGTTTGATGATTTGTTCCTTCAAAACATTTTATTTTTTCTCTCTGTGGACTGACTGGATTTCATCCAGGTTGCTTTGGATCTGAGATCTGTGGATATGCTTCAGGTTTTAAACTCTTAAATACGATGTTGTGGGAGCTCTGACAGACTTTGGATATCAGATTGTTTCACAGTAAAACTCTCCACATGTCAGGTTTATTTCCTTCGACCTTCAGGAGAATAAATTCGAACACGGAGCACGCTAATTGTTACTGGACCTGTGCGTTTGTTTCAGGAGACAGGTGTGATGGACCTGGTGAATGATGGGATGTACCAGCCAGTGACCGTCTTCCTGCCCTCAGATGGAGTCATGGCGTCTCTTCCACTAGAACAGAGGGACTTCCTGCTCCATCCAGGCAACCGTCCACAACTGGTGGAGTACCTGAAGTACCACATCCTGCAGGCCCAGAAGGTGATTCAAATAATGGCCAATGAGAACTGTAGGTCAGCTTTGTGACTCACTGGTCTAGACTAACTTAGAGTCAGTTTATAGACCAGGACTGAACTGGTTCAGTTAAGTGGTGATTAAATTTAATTTCAGATCGAACACTATACCAAGAGTTTTATGTACAGGTCTAATTTGGCAGCTGTGACTTCTGATAAATGTGCGGAGGAACAATAACAAGGACAGATGTGAAAATTAGTCAGCATTTTAGCACTCTCAGCTCTCTGGATTTTTAATTTGGTGTTTTGTTCTACAACATAAAATCCCTCAGTTAATTATCCACTCTGAATTTAGAAGCTTTTATGTGTGTTAAAAAAGATGGTTGCTAACAAGTGTCTAAATAAGACTACAGAATGTCACCTGAATCTGACACTTTGAAACTTATGTTAACTGACACAGTGAGACTGTTGTTACAGATCTACGCTGAAGGTTTGATCCATCTGGACTCAGTGCGGACTCTGCAGGGCTCGCCGCTCTCATTCACATGTGGAGGGACAGACAACATCGTGAGTACAACAGAGACGTTATAAACAGAAGAAGAGGTGACAGCGGGCGCTCATTGATGCATTTGTTTCTTCTTTGAACAGGGAGAAATCTTTATTAACGACGGCAAGTGTCGGATCATTCAGAGACACCTCGTCTTTAAAGGTGGGATCGCTTACGGGATCGACTGTCTGCTGACTCCGCCCAGCCTCGGAGGACGCTGTGACCTACAGACGACCTTTGACCTTCAGGTAAATCCTCACTTCACAGGCTCTTGGTAACAGCAGTAACGACCGACTCCGTCTGCTGCCTCCTGCTGAAGGTTTTTCGGCTCTTTAAGTTTCTCCTGTGTTCATTTACCAAACCAATAAGATAGTCTTTATCAGCGATGCCTTTCATGATAATGGTACACAAAATAAATTGCTTGAAAATTTAAAAATAAACAGCCTGATGCTTGAGGTTTGTACCATAGTTCAGATTCAGCTGCGGCCTTTGTTGAATTTCATGTTATCAGCTGGAGGTGCAGCTGCCTCTCCCCCACAGGGCTGTAGGCTCCATAGGAGTGTTAAAATGTGTTTGTCTTGTTGTGTTATTGGGAGCCAGAATAGAAGGAGTCATGGCTCAAAACCAGCCGCCACTGCCCGTCAACAAAAACAAAGACAACTATGGTTAAATGTGATAAGACCAAAGGACTGGACGGAGGCCATCATCAAAAATGCTCACATGTGCAGCGCACACTTCATATCAGGTTAGGGTGCGTTGGTAAATTCAGTCTGACGCTCTACACTAAAATGAGAGCCCTGTTGGTGGAAGAAACGCAGCGTTATATTTCTACATGAATGAACCAACGGTCACTCCGCTCGGCGCTCTGCTGCTCCGTCTCCACAGACAGAGTGTCCAGAGTGCGCTCTGCCACTCTGAGAGTGCGCTGCTCTGGATAACCCAACGCTACATTCAGACAGCGCTCCCAATTTATCAACGCTCCAGTTTGTGTCAGAGCGCACTCCCACACTCAGAATGAGTGTTTCTGAACGCACCACTCACATCATCTTCCTCCATCGTCTAAAACAAGACAACACAACTTGTTAGCTAGCGCTAGCTAATGTCTGTGGAGAACTGTTTTGCCTCCAGCTAAGCCCCGCCCACCAAAAAATGTCACACTGTTTACTAACAGTAAAAGGACCTATATTTCGGAGCGTATCTATGTTTCCCGGGTTCTGTGTTCCCTGCTTAAAGGGATAGTGCACCCAAAAATGAAAATTCAGCCATTATCTACTCACCCATATGCCGTTGGAGGCCCTGGTGAAGTTTTAGAGTGCTCACATCACTTGCAGAGATTGGCGGGTGGAGCAGCTAGCACACTTAATGGTAGACGGTGCCCCAGACTAACGTCCAAGAACACAAAATTGAATCCACAAAGTATCTCCATACTGCTCATCTGTAGTGATCCAAGTGTCCTGAAGCCCCGACATAAAAAGTTGTTTGGAAAAACGTCATTTGAACTCTGTTTTTAGCCTCATTGTAGCCTGTAGCTCTGACTGCCTCTCTGGGCACCGCGTTCACGTGTGCGTGCCTGCGCGAGACCAGCGAAAGCATGAGCTTTGCTCACCCATGTTTACATCACGTGACACGTGCACTGCAGGGAGAGACAACAGTAGCCACAGTCGCTAAAAGATAATTTGCACTACGGTCTTTCAGCAAAGTACAGCCCAACATGTCTGAAGACTTTGCAATTGAGGAGGAACAGCATTTCTTTGTTGAGCCGTATTTGTTTGAGCCCGAGTATACGGACGGAACTCAGGCTACTGGACGAAGCAGCCGCCGCAGCTCATGAGCCTCAGCCAGCCGCAGAATACCGGAGTCGAGCACTGGAAACCTGGTGGTGTAGTTGTTTCAAATGCAAAGCAATGCCAACGGATGAGGAAAGTCTTTGCTGCTCAGACTGGGAATTGGCGATGCCTGCACTTGAGAATCTGGACATCAGTACTGAC